AATTATTTTCTTTAATTGTTTTTTTTACTCTTTATTTAATTCTGATTTACTTTATTTCTTCAAGTTATTTTAATTTATGTTTTATTTATATACATTTCCTGTGTTTTTAAATAAAACGTTTTAAAGTAAAGGAACACAAAATTATTTTCTTTAATTGTTTTTTTTACTCTTTATTTAATTCTGATTTACTTTATTTCTTCAAGTTATTTTAATTTATGTTTTATTTATATACATTTCCTGTGTTTTTAAATAAAACGTTTTAAAGTGAAGGAACACAAAATTTATGTTTAAAATGCATATATTTGTTTTATTCATGTATGTATTAAGTATATATGTAATGAGTACTTTTCCAATAAAAATAAGGAAATTCCTTAAAAACCATCAAACTCAACAGACCTCTCTAAGTAGCTGAATCATTACAATAATATAGTACATATGTAGGTATATCTATAATAATTTCAAGTTATCACTGTACTTTGTTGAAAGTTTCCTTGCCTAATAGCTTTTTTGCATTTAATTTTTAGTTCTGAGGCTAAGCAGTTTTGTCATCAATAAATATATATACACATATATATATATATATATCTATATATATCTATTTCACCCTCCATTACGCATAGTGCACCAGATTTCCAAGCTGCCTCTAAAATCGCTTTATATATACCATCACTTGCGCAACATAACCACATTTTTAACAAGTCATAATTAGTTCAATTTTGCTTTCTTCAGTTAAGGTATTATCTTACAATGCTACATATTTACAATGAGAAATATTTCAGAAATTGTGCTGGTGGTACTGGCTGTGCTACAACCAATTGCCCACCACCAGCTGCATCCTCCAAGCGTTGCTTATAGTCAGGCATTTGATCGGCTATACATGGATGGCCCTCCGATGGCCAGAATAAACACGAACAAATACGACATAGTTTCAACACTTCGGCAAATTGATAGTCGTCATTGACACCGTAAGTGCGTCGCAATTGGTGATAGATCTTTTTCCAGTCCTTAACCTCGTTCATTAGTTTAAAATTATTAAGATCGAGTATTAAATTGATTTGTTGCTGTTTGAAATGAAAGCGACAGAGTTCCCGCCAAATGCGTTGCTCTGAGACCAATGTTGCCATGGTGGGCCAGGCGTTTGCGGAGGCCTAGTTAAAAACCCGAAAGAGTTTAAATTTTTTTCCAATGTTTGATTGACCAACATTGTCTTAAAGGTGCATACTCACTTCGAGATCTTTGTGATCAGCTATGCGCAAGATAATCTCACGTATGCACTCCTCAGGAAGGTCGTGCAGTTTTGGACGTATTTCAGGACCAGGCTGAAATTAATAGAAACAATCTTTAACTGAATTTTCTGTTATAATTAGAAACAATTTCATAAACTTTATACAAATTGAAACAAATACATGTCAACTTAAAGTGTAAATGCTACTATTGCTAAGTTACTAAAGAGATAAAGTATTGATAAAGAGTCTAAGTAGGTGTTAAAACTGTATATGACGTACACTGTGAGGTCTTTATAGAATACTTTTTGTGTAGGCAACTCTGGGTAGGCTCAGTAATTAGTTCAAACCTCTATGATCTCGAAGATTACTAAAATAACATTTTAAGGATTGATCTTCCCTCTACAGATGAGACACCCAGTTGCGAGCCTGAACGCGGCGCTCTGGCGTGGTGGACTCTTTTTGTACTTAGTATAAAAATGTCTAATCTCAATTTATAAAATTGGTGGACCTATTCTCTGCGTTAACTGAATACCACGCCATAAGTTCAAGCATAAGATATTATTTTTGCGGCCGTCAATGTAAAACGTCAAAGGTAACTTGTTGGTCATTCCATTTTCCAGATACTAAAAAGACACACCCTCAAATAAAATTTTTATTTTACATTTGACATTTCGGGCAGAAATTATATATATTTAACTGCTCTACCGGGTTATAAAGCATATGTCTTAGTAATTTCTATTCTATTTCTTCGTAAAATCATATACAAACTGTTTCCAGATTGGAAATCTAACTTAAAATTATACGGTTCAGAAACTGCTACTTAAACTCTTATGCGATAAAAATTTCGATTTTCTATCTCGCAATTCTTAGAATAAAATGACAACATCGACATTACTAACTATGTATACTCGTGGAAAAGATCTTGAATTACTGATTTTCTACTTTTGAAAAAACCAGGAAGGTTCTGGTACTGTTGTATGATAGTTCAAAAAACCCTGACCTTTAACCATTCCACTTCACAAAGATGGTTCTGTTATCATTTTTCATACCTTTTTTCCTTGCCTAAGTTGTTGAAACCTTTTCCAATCTCTTTAATAGTCATATATTTTATATATATGTATATATAATATATACATAAGTTAGTATATGCAAGTACTCACCTCTTTAATTTCAAGTTGACTAGCGACATTTTGTATGCGTTTTATAGTCTCGATATGCTCCTGCCACAGATTGGTGCTGCCCAGGGGTTTTCCCCAACATTTCTGGCTCTCCTGAAACACGATCTCTTGCAGTTGTATGACCAAACCGCGGAGCACATTCAAATGCTGTTGGCTGTCATTGACTGATAAGTCAAGCGTCACAAATAGAGACGTCGCATAAATGGTTCGTTTGTTGTTGCGGAGCATTTACCGGGTTTTATGTTTTTTTATGGATTAAAACGTGGTTGATCCATCACAAATTTAGTGGAAATGGGTTATTTCAATAAATATCATAACTCTAACGGTATTAAAAGACCTGACAACTAGTTGGCAACAATGGCAGCAGCAACTGTTGAAGTTGCAAAAATTTATTTGGCAAACGGAAATATGCACTTTGCAACTACAATTGCTGCCACTACATCTTACTAGTCATTCAACTCACCATGTGTGGCCACATCTTCAACAATTTGCATCAGCACCCGCTGTGCGCTGCCAGACAAGTTGACGATACCCTTGTGAGATACCAACAATCGCAGCAGCGCACAAATATAATGGAAGCGTTTGTGATTACGTAATGATGTGCGAAAGTCTAGACGTCGCACAACTTCGCCAAGTCCGTTGAAACCGGCTATTTCGCGTGTACAACGTACCGTTATGTGGCAGTGTGGCGGCACGATAACCTCATCGGAATCATCGTCAAAGCCATCGTCCGAATTGGATGAAAGTCTGGAAGGAAAGCAAGTGTAATAAGACATTTAAATTTTGTAGAGAATTTGCATAAAGCTCCAAAATAAAGTTTGGACAAAAATTCCGGATTAGTAGCCACGAGAAAACTCGACAAATACTACATATCGGGGGTACCACACCATATATTATATTTAAACGGCTATTTTATTGCATATTCTTTTATTTTGCCAGAGCTACAGGCACAAAGATGTTTTTCGTGCAAGGGAGATCGTTTCATAAGGCGACCATTTTCTTTTCGTAAAAAAGGCTTGATTCCACAATTATAAATCCAGTATCAAGGATTATAAATATAATTTATATTATATATAATATTTTCGGAATGCAGTGTACCCATACAACATATAGAGATAGATATATAAATATAATATATATTCCTCCTCTAAAGATTCATAGAATTATAAATTCACCCGCCCTGTGACTTGTTTTCCAAACTTATGAAGTCATTCGATTATCGATTTAAGCAAGGAACGTGCCGTAGATGATTAATCTCCTCATCTTTCTTTTCATTGTCTTTCGAGGGGTATTTACTATTAGACCGTGAAATATGTCCTATGCTAAAGGCTTAACCTCTAATTCCATGAAGGAAATAGAAAAATGCAACTTGAAAAAATTTGATTCGAAAAACTTTTTGTTTCCCATGCGTATGGCATAATAGTATATCGCCAGAGTTTATAGAATATGAATAAATAACCTTTTCAAACATAGGACAGAATGAAATTCTTCATAAGTGGACCACTCTGTCTCTTGTTTCTCTTCTATATATATTATATTTAACATTCATTCCAAAGCTATTTGTTCTCCAGAAAATCGTATGGCTTGAGAACCTCTTTCAGATTTGATTATTCTAAATTTATATTTTGATTTGTTGATATTACGAACCTACAAGTATGACTCTCCAACTGGCAGTCTCTTTTCTTATCCACTTTCTGTTTTGGTATAAATATTTAAATGACTCAATTTGCTGATATACACATATATATAAATATAAATATAATATAATATATAATATATATTTAACATTCATTCCATATACATTCAATATATACATATATATCCATATTATATGTATAATATATACATATTTGCCCTTGCCTAGGTAGCTCTATGGCACAGGCCTGTTTATATCAATCTACTTATGGTATTTATAGCTACACATAGGTAAGTACTAGTATTGCAATGAGTGTTGCAGCACAAACGCACAACGTTCTCATCCGAACGGCAGATTGAAGACTACTAGCTCCATTACAGAGGTATTTCGAAAGACAAACACATTGAACTAAAAATAAAATGAAGTACTAAAAAAACAAAGACTTATGGGAAATGAGAAAGTAAATTAACGCTTTTTGCCACTTCGGTTGAATGATTTATGTGCAACATTTGTTTCACTGCAATTTGTTGCTACTCGCTTGTCGGCGGTGACAGATACTCGCACTTGTAGTGTGGCAGTAAGACACCTTTAGTATTGCATATTGAGCGATTTTGGTTTAGATAATCAACAATTTATTGGTGTGAGTGTAGAATTTTCCAGCGTATTGTAAGAGATGCATTTAATCTTACATACGAAATACGTGCTCGTGTTAAAAAAAAAAGAAATTTGAGTATTTTTAGATTTAAAAGCCTCCTGATGACCTTCTTTCAAAAGATACTTCGAATATTTGACTATATTTTGGATATTTTAATAGTCCGCGCTATTCTGACTGCAAATTACTTCTTTTTTCAGCACTGTAAAAAATTACACTGTACAACATAGTGAGAGCCATTGTCTAACAGACGACAATTAATTGGCTTTTAATGTCATTTCAATCATATTGTATTCTTGCAACATATTGCTACAGAGTATAATAGTTTTTTTCACCTAACGGTTGTTTGTATCACCTAAAAATAATCGTGATAGATATGGAGTTATATATATATAAATGATTATGACGAGACGAGATCCGAGTGACTGTCTGTCTGTCCGTCTGTGCAAGCGATAACTTGGATAAAAATTGAGAAATCTTAATATAACTTGATACACGTGCCACGCTCACAAGATGCCATTAATCGAAAACCTATAAAATGCCATAACTACGCACTTAGTTAAGATATAAACCTGTAATTTGGTACAGGGAATTGCAATAACAAGGAGCACCTGTGGTAAAAAACTTTTGAAAAAATTGGTGTGGCCCCGCCCTCTAATTGATTTAATGTACATATCTCCTAAGCCATTTAAGGTACCCTTACCGAAGCTGTTAAAATGGATGAAATCGGATGATAATCCGCCCTCTGCCCTTATAACGGTTATGCTAAAGACTACTGAAAGCACAATAAATCATTGACTAAATGTGCCAGGGACATTCAATTTTACACCGAGGATGATACACGATGGCTTTATAGAATCCGGAGTCAAAATTGAACAATGGGCATGGCATGCCCACATATCTGTGAAATCACATATCTCCGGACCTACTTGACCAACCGCACCTAACATACTACCCATATAGCACAATTTTAAATTTCATACTATTCTTTCACTTTCCAGTACACAAGTCAAGCACCAATGAATATATTCAGATGAAACTTTGCACAAATAGTGCCTTTGAGGTATACAATCTCGAGTCTAAAAATTGTAAAAATCGGCCTATATTTGTTCAAGCCCCCACATACCGAAGACCCCTGTGCATATGGCTAACTTTTTGCCGAAAATATCGGTCAAACTGTGAGATATAGGTATTATTGAAATTCGGGGAAAATGTTCCTTGTGTCAAAAATGGGTTGAATCGGGTCAATACTTTCCTTAGCCCCCATATACCTAATATAAAGATTTTCAAACTTTCCGTCGACTTTTTACCATATACCATATATCGGCCAATGTGGAAGTCATTTTAATTTAATTGAGAGAGCGTCTTATTCTAATATCAGTGTAGTCCCCATATAACTGATATTCACGATTTTGAAACATCCGGCTAACTTTACTCCATATATGTATATGTTTATATTTACATATTTATAAAATTTCTTGAAAATAAGTTCTCAGATATATTTGAACAATCTCACAAATTAATGCAATCAGCCACTACATTTCTCTGACCTTAATAAATCCTATATAATCATTTCTGACTTTCCCCCTAACTCTAAACCGTTTAGGTTGGTCAAAATATGTGATATTTTACTAAAATTAAGTGCTGATTTTCTTTAAGTTACAAAATTATATTATACCTAATACAAGTATATTGAAATCCAGACCTTTGGTTGACGTTTTTCACATCAACTCAAAGTATTAAATTTAATCTCTATGGTTGAGTTTATATCAAATATTATATATCTCATTTGAGGATCATATTAAAATAATATAGTAATATATAGTAATAAAACTAGGTGGGTCTATGACTTACGTCTTCGATGGACAATGAAGTTGAAACTCTTCGCTACATATTTAAATACAAAGTTTTGCCAACACCTCACGGTATTTAGCCAGCATTGATCCTTGCAAGTTGCAAGAGTATAGAATGTTCAGTTAAGCCCGAACTTAGCCCCTCCTTACTTGTTTTAATTGCAGTGGTGCTTCTAGCATAATTATGAGTATATACAGTGTACATACACAAGTATATATATTTCAGCATACGGTACATATGCATACACATACGTGACAAATTAGCTAACAACTAGGCGCCGAAGCAGTTCAATTCAAACGTGAGCCTAGTTGTAAAATCAGCAAATACCAACAACTACCATTAACTATAACAGTTTAAAGGACATTAGCCAACAATACAACGAATATGAGGAGGAACAGCAGCAGCTATATACATATCTACATACTTGTCTATATATGTGTGTTCAGCAATTTATAGTACTAGAAAAATCTGTATCACTACATGAACTAGTTTTGTGAGAATGTAGTGAAGCGGAATTGCGAAGGAAAGTTCAATAGGTAGTAAAACGCAGAAAAGTAGGTCAAATGATAAGGCAAAGTGGGTCGTATGAGGAACCTACAAAATTCACTATTAATACACACACATCCGAGTGCATATTTGACTGCGATACGAGTATTGGCTGAAGGGCAAAGAAATATTTTTGGTTAAGCAATAAATACACACGTTTATACATAAAAGTAGTAACTTCATACATATAAGTATGTTATGTACATTAAAAGTATATATATTGGGTCTGTAAAAAAAACTGCGCCAAGAATGAAGCAAGCCAATTTTTAATATCTATTTCTGATGTGAACCGTATTACAGTGAGGGCATTCTGCATCGACCGGAACAAATGATAGTCAGTAGGGGCAGATTTAGGCTATAAGGCGGATGAGGCAAAACTTCCCAGCCGCTGTTTTCCAAATAATTTTAACCGAACTTGCAACATGAGGGCGAGGTAGGCGTTATCATGAAGGAAAATTATTGCCTCCGGTCTAGAAGCGAATTCCTGGCGTTTTGTAGCAATTCCTCGCTTCAATTTGCAGAGTTGTTATCGGTAGCGGTCCCCATTAATGATTTCACTTGGTTTTAGAATCTAATAATACAGCCCGCCATTGTTATCCTACCAAATACAGAGCATTATCTTCATGTATATCCGGCTTTGCTGTTAATTTGGCTGGTTGGCCAGGTTTCACATATGATTTTTTGCATATAGGCTTGTCGCAATGGATTCATTTTCATCACCAGTCCCAATTCCATGCAAAAGCGACGTCTCTTTATGACGTTCAAGCAACATTTCTAACATGCAAAATCCATCACCAAATGACGACACTACGTCTACCAGTAGGGATGACGTGATTTTGACTGCTCGTGGCTGCCATGTTTATTTACAGATTTGTGTCAAATTTGGTCCGAATGTTTAGTAAGAGTTTAATTGTCCAAGATTATTACGCATATTTACGTTCTGGAAAAAAGTTTCAACTTATATTCTCAGATGAGGCCCATTCCTGGCTTAATGGCTTCGTTAACAAACAAAATTGTCGCTATTGGGGTAAGGCAAATCCCAAAAACTGTGCGTTTCGT